GGCCCCCATCCCGGGCCCCACAGTCCCAGGGCCCCCATCCCGGGCTCCACAGTCCCAGGGCACAGGGAGGACGGTCCCCGCTGCCCGTCAGTCAGGAAGCCGCCATTAAACCTCTCGCTCCCTCACTCTGTTGTGACAAGTGTCTCACGTGTGGCCGGTAAGTGCGTCCAGGGTCAGAAAGGGCCCGAGCGTTGCCCTTGGCAGGTCTGGGCAGGGACGCGGCCACGGGGTTGGCTAGGCTGCTGGGCGACCTGTGTCTCACAGTCCGTGTCTCACAGTCCGCGTCTCACTGTCCGTGTCTCATATTCCGTGTCACACAGTCCATGTCTCACAGTCCGTGTCACACAGTTCGTGTCACACAGTCCGTGTCTCACACAGTCCATGTCTCACTGTCCGTGTCTCATATTCCGTGTCACACAGTCCATGTCTCACAGTCCATGTCTCACTGTCCGTGTCTCATATTCCGTGTCACACAGTCCATGTCTCACAGTCCGTGTCTCACACAGTCCGTGGCTCACAGTCCGTGTGCTCCCGCCGAACCCAAACGGAAACCGCCAGGTGGGGGGGGGGCGGCAGCGAGGGAGCCGGGAGGGAGCCACTCCCCGGGCCAGAGCTGGCGGAGGCCCCAGCGCCGGCACCTCCGTCCCACCAGGAAGGGCCGAGTGGGGTGTCCGGGGCCCAGGCAGAGGCCGCGGGGCAGGGACCAGCCATCGGGACTGTCCCCCACGTGTCCGAGGGCGTCTGCCCGAGACCCTCACATGCAGCCCCGGGCAGGGCCCTGGGGGACCCGGGGGTTCCGGTTGCAGAGATTTGACAAGTTCAGAGCCAAGAGCACACGCTCAAGGGGGGCAGAGACGGGTGACCCCCAGCCGGCGAGGGACACAGCGCGAGGGCCCCGAGTCGATGGGACCCCGAGGTTCCCGGGTCGGTGCCGGAATCTCTGCCTCCACCCAGACCCGACCCGCCCTCCGGGCCTGGTCACCTGGTCACCTGCCCTCGGCTGGATGCCCCCCGCGCCCCGCGGTCCCACGGAGCCCATCACAATGCGTGTCCGAGACTCAACTCGCCCCTGCCTGGCTTCTATGTTTATCTGAACGGGGGGGGGGGGGCACCGTCCCCCACCAAGCTGTTCCCCTGAAACCCGCAGGCGCTTGTCTGCCACCCCCTGTCCACCCTCACAGGCCCCAGCGCTGCCCCTCCCGGTGGCCGAGCAGTGCGTCCTCTCCCGTCCCCTCCGCCCTGTCCCCACAGTCCCATCCCTGTCCTCACTCTTCCCCGGGGGCCACTGCCGGTCTGGGGGCCACCGGAGCTCACATCCCCTCCCCCCTACAGAACTGCCCGTGGCTCCCCGCCTTCCCAGGCTCGAGTTCCTCATCGAGGCCCTGACCTCCGGCCCCTCTGACCTGTGGCTCCAGCACCAATTGGCAGGAGGGACGGGGGGCCCTGCAAGCCCCTGGGGGGGGGGGGCGTTGGTGGACCCCTGGGCACAGATGCTCACCCAGGTGGACCTCCTGCTCTGTGGGGGGAGGGGAGAGTGAGGGGGGTGATGATACAGGGCGTCTTGGCCCCTGGCGTCCTCAGGCGTGGAGCTGAGCTGGCTGAGAGCGCCGGGCTCCTCGATCAGGGCGGGCATCGAGGGTAGGGCCCTAGCTGCGAGCTAGGAGCCCTGGTCCCGCCTGGCCCACTGAGTGACCTGGAGCAGCAGGTCCCCTCCCTGTGCCTCAGTTTCTCCCGACCAAGAGTGAGGAAGTTAGACGCAGCGGGGCTCACACCTGCAGGCGGCGGCGGGAGGGGCCCGGACCAGCACTGGTAACTCTCATGGTTGTGCTCCTGTCTCAATGAGCATTAGAAGAACCAGGGACGTTAGCACATCCGCTGCAGGCCTGGTGGGTAGTCCTGTGAAGGACGAGCAAAGGGGGCCAAGTGCATGTACAGGAAATATTAGCCTGGCCGGCCCGCGTGACTCAGTGGCTGAGTGTTGACCTGTGGACCAGGAGGTCACGGTTCGATTCCCATCAAGGTGCCTGCCTGGGTTGCAGGCTCGGTCCCCAGTGGGGGGCGAGCAGGAGGCAGCCGGTCCATGATTCTCTCTCCTCATTGATGTTTCCATCTCTCCCTCTCCCTTCCTCTCTGACATCAATAATATATAGAATTTCAAAGAAAATATTAGCCGAACGCTGTGCCATTGGCTGGGGCAGGAACTCTGGGAGGACCTGCACGTGTGCTGGTTGGGTCCCCCTGTCCAGACCCCCTCTGTCAGCTGCCTCCGTCCCGGGCTCCCCATGGGGCCATGGGGCTCAGACCAGACGCCAAGGGGACCCGACACTGCAGCCTCCTGGTCCCTGTCCAGCCGGGAGCACCCAGGGTCACCTCCCAGCCCCCGACACCCACGCTGGCGTCGTCAGAGCCACTCAGAGAGGCTCCCATACCTGGGGCTTCCCCCACGAGACACCCCCGTTTTCCTGCCCCGCACACTCACGGGCGCCCCCTCGGCTCCACCCCACACCCTTCCCCTCCCAGGGGCCATCCCTCCTGGGCACTCCGCGGGCAGCACCCTGGGGCACCGCATCCCCACCTGCCCCTGCAGGGGCTCAGGGGGCCAATCAGGAGGCCGGGAGCGGCCCTCTCTCCCCCTCGGGGCGGGTCCCAGATCAGAGGAGCCCCCTGCCCTCTGCCCTCCCCTTCTGGGTGTGTCGCGTCGCGTTTGAAGCTCCCGCAGGTAGAGCGTACCTGGCTCCTGGGCCGCGGGGGACGCGGGGCAGAGGCTGTGAGGAGCCGGGCCAGCCGGGCGCACGGAGACCGCACCATCCCCACCCGAGTCCACAGGCCGAGCGCTGGAGGGGCCGGCCGGGAGGTAACCGCAGGCAGTGGCGGGGACGCGAGGCCGGGGACGCATTTGCTGGGGCTCAGTTACCGGGGAGGCTTGGCTCCCAGAGGGAGCCGAGCAGCCCGGCCCCGCAGGCTGGGGAGGGGGTGAGCCGGGCGGTGGCAGACACGGCCGTGGACCTGTCCACGGACACAGGGGGGTCCGATGCCCCGGAGACTAAAGCAGCTTTTCCAGGCAGACGCCCGCCAGGGATCCCTGGACAGGAGCGAACAGGCAGAGGGTGGAGACCGGAGCAGCTGGGCTGCGTGTGGCTGAGGGAGACGGCTGAGGGCTGCAGTGTCCAGGGTGGGGGCACAGCCTCCAGGGCGGACGGCCAGGGTCAGGGCCCAGCTCCGTCCCTGAGCGGCTGGGTGACCAAGGCCATCTGCTGGTCTGGGGCTCCATCCCATCCGCTGCTACAGGCTCAGCACTAGCGTCTGCCCGTGGGTCTGCCCTGGGAGTCACGTGAGTGTAGAAGCGTGTCCGGCACAGAGTTGGGACTATACAAGCATCTCCTGGTATTTTTTGTTTTTAAATATATTTTATTGATTCCAGAGAGGAAGGAAGAGGGAGAGAGATAGAAGCATCCATGATGAGAGAGAATCATCGGTGGGCTGCCTCCTGCACGGCCCGCACTGGGGATGGAGACCACAACGTGGACATGGACGGGAGTAGGACCCGCCCTGAATCCATTCCACCTTTTCCCTTACCCTGAGCCTTAAAGGCCCGAGGAAAGGAAACCAAGCCCGTGGGTGCGGAATTTCCCTGTAGACTTCGCCCAGGACGGGTGTGACCGTGGGCAGCCCTGGGCGTGGGCGTCAGCGCTGCGCCCTGGCAACGCGGGGGTGGCACGGCCGTCTGGGGCCTTTGGTGGCCACATCTCAGGGTCTCAGCGCCCCTGGGAGCGCTTCCCCAGGCTGCCCCGCCTCGCTGGCAAACTCCGCTCCCCCCAGGCGCCGCCTCAGTGTCCCCCGAAGACCTGGGGACCCCACGGGCAGTTAGAACGCGGAGTTCAAACCTCCACGCCCCCCCCCTCCTCCCCGCGCCCCCCAGGCCTGGACCCCGAATTCCACCCATCTGCTGCCATTGCTCCTCGCGGACACACGGTGGCGCTGTTGGCCACCGGTTCTGCCCAGTCCATTGGTCTGCGAGGACCGACCAGGTCCTGCCAGGCTTTGGGGGGCGGCGGGGGGGGAGGGGTCCCACTTCTGAGCTGAGGCAAGGGGGCTCCTCGTCAGTTCCCAGGGGCGCCGCTCCTGGCGCTGGACTCCGTCTGATTCCCACGGTCGCCCTCCTAAGGACACCCCCAGGGCACCCGGCGCCGCCCCCACCAGAGCGGACCGTCACCTACAGCGCGGGCATCCGAACCTGCGAGGGACGCCCCACCCACAGGAATCAGCATTTATTTTTTAAAATATATTTTTTATTGATTTCAGAGAGGAAGGGTGAGAGAGGAGAAACATCAATGATGAAAGAGAATCACTGATCGGCTGCCTCCCGCACGCCCCCTACTGGGGATGGAGCCCACACCCAGGCCTGTGCCCTGACCAGGAATCGAACCCTGACCTCCGGGCTCATAGGTTGACGCCAACCACTGAGCAATACGGCCAGGCAGCACTGAATTTCCGTGGCAACTCGACAAGGGGCCCATGCGCCCCTGGGTGGGAGGCCCTGGAAGGTGCCAGGGGTAAGACGCCTCCCCGCTCCCCAAGGACATGGCACGTCTGGTGCTGTCCCTACGCCAGGCCCGGGCAGGTGTGGGGCATGTTGTTTCTCCTCCGATTCTCAGGGACCCTCCCCTCCTGTGTGTGGGGGGGTACTTCCCTCCGTCGGTGGGCGGCACTCGGAGAGGCGTCCACAGAGGCGACCGCAGGGACCCCTGCTCTGGGGTCTCGCCTTCAGCAGGGACCCCGCCCCCCTGACAACGCCTGCGACACCCCATTCGAGGGTGGGGTGACCCGGCCGTCATCGCGGGCCTCGCCTAACCCGAGTGTCCGTGTGTCTGTCCGTTCCTCTCCTTTAGGACGGTTCTCCGGGACCCTCGGGCGCAGGCCTAGCATCAGCGGTCAGTTCCCGACGCCCCAAGCGGCCTGGGTTCTCCAACGCGCCGCGAGGATCCAGCGAGAAACCAGGCCCCAGCGCCGTGGCCCCGGCGCAGAGCCGCAGGGTTCGCGCCCTCGGGAGGCTCCTGCGCGGGGCTGCCGGCGAGGCGGGTGCCCATGGCCCGCGGAGGAGGGTGCGGGCCCGAGGCCTGGCCCTGGGCTGGGTCCTAGCCTGTGCGCGCTGAGCCGCTGCCTGGAGGCGCCCCCCTGGTCCGCAGCGATGGCGCCCCTTAGGGGGACCGCGGCAGCCCTCGCACGGAGCGCGGAGAACCCCTAACCAGTCCTGGAACCCCCGAGCGGCTGCTGGCGATGTGACGCGCCCCCGCGGTGGGGACGCGCAGACCCCGAGCGGGGGCGGTGCGGGGAGGGTCTGGCCCTGGGCGCAGCGCCCCGCGGCGCCATGAACCGTGGACCACAGACCATGAACGGTCACTTCTGCCGGGCGCTGATGGAGCGGGGGCCGACGGCGCCCCCCGGCGGCGGCCTGCAGCTGGGGCCCGCGCCCCCGCCCCGGCCCGCGCCCCTGCCCGCGGAGCCCCCGGGCGCCGTGCCCTTCCTGCTGCTCCCGGGCCCCGCCGCCGCCGCCTACGCCGGCCTGTTCCCCTGCGCGCCCGGACCCGGCGCCCTGGGCGCCTACGACGGCGCCTTCGAGCCCGCCTTCGTCCACAAGCGCAACGAGCGCGAGCGGCACCGCGTGCGCTGCGTGAACGAGGGCTACGCGCGCCTCCGCGGGCACCTGCCGCGCGCGCTGGCCGAGCGGCGGCTGAGCAAAGTGGAGACGCTGCGCGCCGCCATCCGCTACATCCGGCACCTGCAGGAGCTGCTGCGCGCGCCCGACGGCCCCCCGCGGCCCGAGCCCCCGCGCGACGCCCCGCCGCCCGCGGGCGCCCGCCTCCCCGCCTCGCCGGGCCCGGAGCCCGAGGCGTCCAGGCAGTGACTGCGGTGCGCAGGGGCGCGCCGTGCCCAGACCCTCGGAGATGCGCGCTCTCCGCGCCTAGGACCCCTCCGTCCCCGCCACCGCCCGCCTCTCCTCGCCGTCTGAGCGGGTGCGAGGGGCCAACGCGGACTGAGGAGCAGGGGCGACGGGCCCCGGGGAAGCCCGCCAGCCGCGCTGGCCAGAGCCCGGAGGAGGGCGCCCTGGACCGTCACCCGGGGACTGGCTCCGCCTCCGCTTCGGCCTCGCGCGTGGAACGCCTGGGTCCAGCTCCGGGGTGTGCACGGGGCCCAGCTCCGGGGTGTGCACGGGGCCGCGGGGCCCTGCGCCGGCCGCCGGATCACAGTCTGTGTCCGCGAGGCCGCAGGAGGCGAGTCGCGCTCAGATTCGGATGCACCTGTCCCTCGCGCCACAAGGTTGCCTCAAACACCGCGCCTTCTGGGAGCTGGTCTGCGCGCGCGCACACAGACACACACACACACACACACACACACACACACACACACACCCCTAAGTGGCGCTCCCTGGCCTCCCTGATGGAGGGCGCCGTCCTGTCCTCCACCCGCAGCGTGGCCTCCGCCTGCCTTCGCTCCCAGCTGGGCCCCTGGCCGTGGCACCGAATGGGCAGATCGGCACCGTTGGCACCGAAGGATGAAATAAAATACGTGTTGAGTTCTGATGCCTGGACCACAGTCTGCCCTCGTGTGCCCTGTGTCTCTCTCTCCTTCCCACTCCGTCGTGGCACTAGCTGTGGGTTGTGGGGTGTGGGGCGTGAGGTGCTCTCCACCACCGTTTAAGTTGAGCACATGCCCCCCCCCCCCCAGGGACAGGGCTGGGGGGTGCGGGCAGAGTCCCTGAGAGAAAGCCCTCAACCCTCTCACAGTCAGAGGGGGGCAACACAAAGCAGACCGCACCTCGGGGTGTGGCAGGGGCTGTGTCCAGGGGGCCTCCACCTGCCTGCAGAGGTTCCCTTCCCCGAGGGGGCGGGGCTGCGGTGGGAGGTGGCTGTTCCTGGCGCTGAGGGGCCCCCTCACCTTTGCTGGGCAGCGTCATGGGGCTTGGGCCTGCAGGGCTCATCTTGGCACAAGGGAGCCAGTCTGTCAGGAAGGGGTGTATGTGTGTGTGTGTGTGTGTGTGTGTGTGTGCCGGTATCGGGGTCCGCCCTTCCTGAGGTCTCGCCAGCCTTGACCCTCCATCCAGTCCCCCACTGCCCACCCCGGGCCCTGCCGGCGGCCACCCCACCCCCAGCCGCCCCGGGGCAGCCTAGGGAGCTAGGGAGCGACTGACTGGCTGCGGGCTGGGGAGGAGTGACAGCTGCCTGGCTTCAGGGGCTAATTTTACTCCCGGGAGCGGAGAGTAATCCTCCCGCCCCACCCTGCTGGCCCGGGGCAGGCCTGGCCCTGCACACTGCGGCCAGTCCCCACGGCAGGGCGAGGGCACCGGGGACGCAGGGAGGAGAGGGCTGCCGGGCGGGGAGCCGGAGAGCCAGGCCGCCGGGAACATGGAGCCCCCGGCCTCCCCCCAGGACGAGGGCCAGAGGAAGAAGCAGGCCAAGAAGCCGGCCCCCGAGATCCTGCCCCGGCCGCCCCGGGCCCTGCTGTGCCTGACGCTGGAGAACCCGCTGCGGAAGGCCTGCATCAGCATCGTCGAGTGGAAGTATCCTCGCGCGCAGGGCGGCCACGCGTGTGCAACGCGGGCGAGGGAGGGTGGCCACGGACCACACGCGGGGGCCGGGAGATGGGGACCTGGAGACAGGGTGGCTGCCCAGGAGGAGCCGCCGGGAAAGAAGGCCTCAGCGGGGGTGGGGGTGGGGGAGGAAGATCTGGGGGGGGCCTGGTGATGCCCCCTGGCCGTCTGTGGCGAGGTGGGGTGCTTTAGCGTCCCGGGGCTCCCCTCAGGTTTCTGAAGCAGCAGCCTCCTTTTTGAGCGAGGATGGGGGAGAGTAGAGTGGGGGGGCCTGCAAGGAAACCTTCCCCTTGATGGGAGGGTGTGAGAGAGAGAGAGGGAGGGGGGAGACAGGAGCTGAGCAGGAGCCGCTGTTGGGGGTGGGGGAGGTGCGGGGACCGGGCGGCCAGGCGCAGGGCGCACCCCACCTGGACCCGGGGGGCTGGAGGCCCCTCTTGTGTGGCATGGGCTCTGGGAGGAAGAGCGAGGGGTGTCTGGGTTACTTGGTGGAGGGGGGAGGGGAGAGGCGGGAGGGAGGGAGGGAGGGAGGGAGGAGGCTGGCGGGGGACTGTCAGGGAGGGTCGGGAATAGTTTAGATTTTTCTAAAGGGTCTGGGAGCCGGGCTCCGGCCAGCTGTCCCCGGGAGGATGGGCGAAGAGACAGACACGGAAAATGTGGGCCCAGGTTGGAATCGTTGGGGTCAGAGCCAGCCCTGCCGCCATGGCTGCGCACACCCCATCCAGTCCCCCCGGCCGACCGCCCTGCCTCTCGGGCCTGGTCAGGTCTGGGGGGGCAGGATCTCCTCCCTCCTCGGGGGCCTCCCTCCTGGGGGGCGGGGGGGGGGGCTCTCTCCCTGCTCTGCACCTGCAGCGCCTGGGGAACGGGGTGGCCACCCAAGGCGGCTCCACAGCGGGCCTCCCACCCCCTCCCTCCCTCTTTCTCTTTTTAAAAATATGTTTTTATTGATTTTTTTTTAGAGAAAGAGGAAGGGAGAGGAATAGAGAAATAGAAACACCAATGAGAGAGAATCACGGATCGGCTGCCTCCTGCACGCCCCCCACTGGGGATGGAGCCCACAACCCGGGCCTGGGCCCTGATGGGAATGGAACCGTGACCTCCTGGTTCACAGGTCGATGCTCAGCCACGGAGCCACGCCGGCGGGCCCTCCCTCGCTCTCTTCCCTCAGCAACCCCGCCCTGGCCCAGCCTGGGCTGCCTCTGGGAGACGGTTATTCAGGGGGGCGTGTCTGAGGGATGTGGGGATCTGGGGGTGCTGTCCAGGGGCTGGCCAGCCCCTCCTTCCTCAGGCTCTGAGGTTCGGGTGTCACCTGCCCACCACCCCCTTTCCTGGTCGGGCCTGCAGGCACCTGGCCTGTCCCCGATCCGCCCCATTTCTCCGAGGGAGCCCCTCCCCCGTGGTCTGGCCAGAATCTCAGAAATTCATGGCTCCGGGGAGCGGGCAGGTGGGGGTGGGGGGCAGATGCTGAGAGAGGAGCCCTAAGATGCCCGAAAAGCTGAGGCTTCTGGGCCAGAACCGGACCTCGCGGCCTCAGAGCTGCGAGTGAGTTCCCTGCTCCCGGGAGAGCGGGGACCAGGCCTCCCTCCGCCTCCGCAGCCGGGCCTTACAGCCTCCTCCAGGCTGACCCCCGGCGCCCTCTGACCCTTCGCCCGGCACACCCACGCCTCCCTCGGGGGATCTCCTTAACTCGGGCCCCAGACCCTTCGAGACCATCATCTTACTGACCATCTTCGCCAACTGCGTGGCCCTGGCCGTGTACCTGCCGATGCCCGAGGATGACAACAACTCGCTGAACGTCGGCCTGGTGAGCGGCCCTCCCTCCCGCCCCCGCCCTGGGCCTGCGCCGGGCTGGGGCCCCCTCCCCCAGGTGGGCTGCGTGCCTGGGACCCCCAAGGCTAGGGAACCCCCAAACCACCTGCAGGCCTCCTCACCGGCTGGGCTGCTCTCCTTGATTCGGTAACGTTGCCCCCCGCCCTCCAGGGGGCGCCCTGGGCCAGCACCTCCCAGCACAGCCCCGCAGAGAAGTCCCATTTCACAGATGCAGAAACTGAGGCTCAGGGGCTCAGCCAGTGCTGCCTGCCCGTGTCCCTTCCTGGTGAGACTCGGGAGAGCCCTTTCCCACCGAGGACGGGCAGCAGAGGGCCTTTTGGGGTTCTGCACCCCTTTATCCTTGCCCCGTCTGTAACACGTGATAGAGCCACAGACACACACAGCTGGAGGGATGGTCCGAATCGGGGCCCCGCCACCCGCCCCCCCCGCCCGGGCCTCACCGTGGCGTCCAGCCCCCGGGACCGTCCTGGGCTCAGGTTGCTGCACAGCCTGGGAGAGGCTGCGGCTGAGCCTCTGGCATCCAGGCCGGGGCCTTTTTATAGGGTCAGGAATGTGCCAGGGTGGCTGCGCTCACCTCGGGAGGGCGAAGTGCTGGCCTCGAGGGGCACAGGCCGGGGGCGGGGCCGCCCCACAAGAGTCCTGGCGAGATGGCCGGAGACCCCACCTCTAGATTGCCCGCCCCCCCAGAGATACCCAGTGCTTGTCCCACCCCCACCCCCAACCCTCCCCCACTGAGCATGGACAGGGACACCCCAGCACCCTGCCCAGCTGTGCCCTCCCGCCTCCGCGCTCGCCTCCTACGGTGGCTCCCCCACCCCGCCCCTGGGCCTCTGTCCCCCGATCTGTGGCCAGGACCCCAGTGTCCACCTCCAGGCAGTGCTGCCCCCGAGCGCCCACTCCTGTCCCGCCTGAGCTCAGAGGGGCTCGGGAAAGCTGCCCCTCTGTGCTCCTCTGCCTGCCCAGCCCTCCCCCCGACAAGGTCCCCAGCCCAGGCCTGGGGTGAGGTGGGGGCAGGAGGCAGGGCTCACCCGGTCAGGCCTTGGCTTTGGAGCCGGAGTCCATCGGGCTAAATATAGCCGCTTCCCTCATCCCCAGCGGCTCATCTTCCAAACCTGGAGGCTGAGGTGGCCACGGAGACCCAGGCGGGGCCCGGACACCTGTGGGCGGTGCGGCCGGGACAGCAGGCTCCCCCCACCCCGTCCAGGGAACGGCTCTGAAGAGCATGTCGGGGGGATTCTGGGACCGTGTCCCCCCCACCCCCACCACCACCTTGTTTTTGTTGTTAAGAAAGCTCTGTATATTCTTCATTATTATTAATATATTTGTATTGATTTCAGAGAGAGGAAGGGAGAGGGAGAAGGAGAGGGAGAGAGGAACATGGATGATGAGAATCATGGACCGGCTGCCTCCTGCACGCCCCACACTGGGGATCCAGCCCGCAACCCGGGCCTGTGCCCCGACCGGGAATCGAACCCTGACCTCCTGGTTCC